GGTCCATCTTTGGCAACAGGTGATGCTGATTGGTTACCAAAATGCGAAGCCTGTCCGCCATGTAGCCACGAATACAATTGTTAAAAATGTCCTCGGCAACCCTGGGGTCAACGGCAGCCAAAGGATCATCCAGAAACACCAGATTAGCTCGTGTGTATGCCATGCGAGCGAGGGCAATGCGCGATTTTTGTCCGCCACTCAGCGCTACACCCTTTTCACCCACTTCGACAGCGTCGCCCTCAGGAAAACTTCGTAGATCCTGCATATATCGAAAGGAGAAATGTGAGAAATCGGTATGATTTCAAATTGCAAAGAAAGTCTTCTGGGATGGGACGATCCTCGGCAGAGGCCCAACAGGCGGCCACAGTGAGAAAACGTCTCTAGGTCCGATCCTCTACTGTTATCATTTTGACTAGCCCAATCTCCTGCTCAGTGGTGATCAAAAAGTGAACGCTGTTTACAACAACGATGCCTGTCTATCTATCAGACAAGACAAGACAAGCTGCTTTTATCCCATGATCTCAGGTCCGCTTTGTTCACGTTACTGGCACTTGGTGGAATGATCGCACACACTCCCTTTCCTATAAATTATTCATTTCTAAGATGGCCGCCTTGGTGGACATGCAGGTTTCCAAGTAGGCTTGTCAGAATGCATGCGTAAGTTCACATTACTAAGCTAATTTAACTAAATATGGGGTTTTCGTGGAAATATGAGACCTCATAAACGACCTCATAAGGTGTCTTGGCGTTTGTCTTAGCTATTTTATGTATAACATGCTAAACATCTTTGAGTGCAACGAGGTATTGCAGCACTGGTGCATTCGGCATGCCAATCCGCATTTAAATGATAAAAGACGGCAGATTATGAAGTGCAGTATTAAACCTACCTCATGAAATTGATGACGAAAACTGGTCTGTTAGATGTTAAGCTCCCAAAACGTTGCGCATTATACTCATTCCATTAGCGCCATCTCTTATCCTCCGCCAAAATATGAGCCTAATTAATTCTATCAGGCAAAGTGTTACCCTTTATTCCGGCAATTTCATATGTTAATAAATTCAAAGGTATGCTACCCTGGCCAGATGAATGACAGCTGGTTAGGTGGCTGATGGAAAATGCCGAGAGAGTTCGATTAAAAGCATAAATGTAGAATTTAACTGCTGTTTACTAGCCTCCTCCATACAGAAAATATTGTTTAAGTAACCGGGGAGATGCCCGCCTTAACACATACTAAAGGGATACCCGCCTAAATTCGCAGTTGACACGTCAGACAGGCGCTTGAAGTTTGAGAAAACTTGCCGTTCAGTTCGATGGAAATGCTGACGAAGGTGGCTAACCACTTCACTGGCTCTTTCGTTCCCACTGGCCTGTGGTCAGTCTCTAATATGCCAACTCTGTCCTCGTCTGACCTACTACCTCCGTTTAGGCGTAACCCTTCTCCGCTGTCCATTACCGGTAAAACCTAGCTGGTTTGCACGCATATTCATGCTCTTTTTGCACTTCGTAAGCTTGCTTGTCGTCTGGTGCATCTACTCCAGGACTACTGAGGGCATCGGTAAAAATTTAGCAAGTTTGCAGCACTTGGCAATTCTCAACTCTTTGACCAATACCAATAAACACCTCTTAACTTTGCTAAAAACGAAGAAAACTATTGGGTATCCGCTTCGGCCAGATGCGGTGAGACATCCCCATCCACCGGGCATGCGTCGCGCTCTGCTCATATCATTGTCAGCGCCTCCGTCTCTGGTGAAGTTCTATTCTGTGCAGAGAGAATTTTGCCGTGGCGGGGGAGTAGACCACTTTCCTTTCTACATATCGCATCTCTCAAAAGCCGCTGACTCATGGAGTGAGGGCTTGTACGTCCGTGCAACCATGTGCCTGAGGCATTTCGATAAATGTACGTTCGTTGACCTAGTTGTTAACTATGGTCAACTGCAATGTCGTATCGCTGCAGTGTGGATAAATAAGTGGACAACTTTTACCGTCAAGAATATGCACTCAGGTGTTAGTAACTTGGGCAACAAAGAGATCCGTTTACCGTTCCTAAACGGAAGCGAACAGCAGACTAGCGCTGTTAGTGATAGTTCGACCGTCGCGAACTATATTCCTCACCATGTACCCCCGCAGCAGAGCGGACTCAAGGACGCTGACTATATTGACGGTGGACAGGCGCAACATTTAAAACACTCTCTCCTCACTCACCCACCTGATTCCAGTATCGAGGAAATCGATGGTGAGATCGGGCGCGGTGACTGAGAAGGCCAAGCAACTCGTCTACGCGCGCCACACACCTGCTTCAAGCATGGGAGACCGAAGTTTCCCACATACACAAAGGGGGTGACTCGGATCTCAACTGAGTGGGAGTGCCATAAGGGGTTACATCAATAAGGCGACCTTGCAGTCTGACTCGCAGTTTTGGAAGATCGAGTTATCCTCTCAGTTGGCAAACTTCCAAGCCACGGTTTTCAATGCGCCGTGACAGTTTGACAGAGCGTCCGATTGTTTATAGTGAGGAATATTTACTGAGTCTCGTGGGAGTGCAGTCGCCAAAGTTGATTTCATTCTCTTATCGCTTTTGCATGCGCCAGTACACTGTTCGGGTCGGTCAGCTATCTGATGCGACGATTGGGCGCAAGCGGCTGAAAAAGCTGAAGAGGCCGTCTGCGCGTAGCACACGTGACCTGGCACTCCGCCCAACATACCAGGTTTTCACACAAAGTGAATGCTTTTGAAGAAGGAGGCACGATCGTCGGGCCAAGAGAAAGGGGTAAGCATCCATCCAAATGAGGTCATGGTATCTTTTGATGTTACACACCTTTTTACTTCTATTCTTAAGGACCTGGCGACCTAGACAATTGAGCTGCTACTACAAAGCAAATACGATGAAACGGAGAACCGTCTTGGACACGCCCAAGTCCTTCAGTTCCTGAAGCTCTGTCTCAGGACGTAGTTCACGTTCGACGGGACAATCTACAAACAGGTAAAGGACACGCCAATGGGTTCGCCGATTTCGGGATTCATCGCCGAGCCGGTCCTGAAACGGTTAGAGTCGCTGGTCTTCCAACACCACAGACCGAAATTCTGGGCCCGGTATGTGGATGACACCTTCGTCGTCATCGAACGGGATCAGGTGTTGACATTCCATGAACATCTCAACGCCGTCTTCCCGGACATTCAATTTACGATAAAGGAGGAAGAGAACAACCAGCTGGCCTTCCTAGATGTCCTCGTATGCCGCAAAGATTGTGGTGAACTAAAAACCAAAGTGTTCAGGAAAGCGACAAATACGATGCAAGTACTGAACTTCAACAATAACCACCCAATCGGCCACAAACGCAGTTGTGTAAGGACGATCTATCGGCCTGTCGAAACGCACTGCAGTGAGCCGGAAGACAAAATTGCGGAACTACAATACCAACTCGTGTCCCGGCGATCGTGTCTCCTTCTTCAAGACTACTTCCTGGGACTCGTCTCTTCGCTTCTATTGGCAAAGTGAATGCTGTTATTACAGGACACAAAAGGGCGTAAAACTGCGCAGTCGGCGTTCCAATGAGTTTCACAAAAGATTACGCATGTTAGATCGCGGGAGACAGGGTTGTGGACACGGTGACTTGCGTGTTATTTAGTTTACAGTGAATGTATACTTCCGCAACATCTACAGCACTCCCTTCTCCTTCTTTACCTGGACCAGGTCTGAAGACGTAGTCAAGAAGACTGGAAACGGGGGGAGGGGGGCGCAGGTGGATGGTACGGCCACCCAAACAAGGGAACCTACGGAAGGTTTAACCCAGCAGACATTTAGAATATTCCAAATGTTTTCGTTTACGAAACAACTCTCTAGAAAACGCGTTACCAAATGTCCTTATTAATTAGGTTGCACGGTCTGACGGTAGCCCACTCCAAACTTTCTATCGTTTTGATTTTGTCTTCGTAAACTATGTAATACGAATGGCTCCAGGGGATAGAAATCAAGCATGCAAATGATAGTAAAACTGTGTAGCCGCCGGTAGAGGGGCGCTTACCGATCGTGCTTACGAGACCCACTCGTACCATTGTGCCTTACGGGCTCTCTCTCGAGCCCAAACAGCAGCCGCACAGCGGCAATTGATGTAGTCAGGATGTTATTACCGACAAAGACAATGGAGGCTGGAATAATCACTTCTGGCTTATTAGCCATCGTCAGCCGCTCATATCCAACCCCAAAGTGTGAGACAACTGGGGCTCGAACTCTGGACCTGATAGTTAGAAGTCGAGCGGCTCTAACCACTGGGCCACGAGCCGTTGTCCTCTCGGTTTTGATCGGGAATGTACAATGGTAGAGGGACGCTCACCGATCGTTCTTGCGGAACCCACTCGTCCCGTTGTGTAGCCACTCTATGGGCCCTAATCAATCAGTTCATAGGTCGTCAAGTATCTCTTTGAGCTAATTACGGACGACACGAGCACAATCTGGAGCAGCCCCGTCCTGTTGAAATTACACATTGTCACGTATACCAAGATTTCCTGACACGAGAACCACTATATGTTGCAATAATTGACAAAGGACTGCCTTGGAACTTTGACAAATTAGTTACCTTTGAAAGCAGTCTCATCTAGAACGCTTCAAACATACACTTGCCCACTAATTTCTTCATTAAAATCTCGGTTCTAGCCATTACTCTCGCATCATACTGCCTTTGACTAAAAACAACATAACAGGAGTTGGTTGGTACCAAAAAGATGACGTCAACCAACGTTTCCATTCGGACTCAATACGCCTTCATCACTGAATGCCGTGGCCTGATTGAAACCAGGAGTATACTTCCTCTCGCCGATCCGCGTATTCTAAGCGATATCTCTGTAGTGTCGAACAGCGCGGTGTGGTTGAAAACCGAATTTATGCAGTATTTTGCCATAG